AGCCCGACTCGGGGGGCAGGGCAGGGCCCCCTGGGCAAAGCGAACAATGCTCGACCCGCTAGACCCTGCCAGGAAACCCCAATCGCAGAGTGACCCGAACCAGGGACGGGGTCTGGGCAGAACGACCCCAGGAGACAGGCCCAGAGAGGGCAGTGGGGCAGCCAGCAGAGAGACAGGGACAGACCCACGTTCGCTCCCAGAGCCAGGCCCTGGGAACAGAGGGACCCCGAGCCACACGGGACCCCACCCAGGGGATCAGCTCTGACACCCGCTCAGCCTGGACAGTCACCAAGCGGAACTGCTGCCCCACGGCCGCCGGAGCCCCACGGCACCAGGCCCCTCCTGCCCTCGGGACCCCAGCCCATGGGGGGGCACTCACGTGTCACGGAGCCTAATGGGCAACCGTGCCGAACCCACAGGTTGGGGGAACCTTTCCCAAGGCCCCCTCCTCCCCCCCAGGCCATGTGCTCCACCCCCCCAGGACCCCCAGGGCCCCCCCGGGACCCCCAGGTCCCCCCTGCCCTCACCTCAGGAGGTGCAGCATGAGGAAGGCCAGTGTGTCCCGGTTGGCGGGGGGCAGTTTGCTCACCACGTGGCACAGGGCTGCCTGGCAGGCGGCCTCGTCCGGGATGTCTGGGGCAGAGCCAGGAGCTGTGGTCATGGGGAGGGGGGACATGGGTCCTCAGCCGCCCCCCCCAGCCCAACGCTGCCCCACGGCACCAGCACAGGAGCAGCTCAGAACTGGTGGGGCAGAGCCGGGGCAGCGGGTCCAGTCGGGCCCTCGGGTGTTCGGAAAGGCCCCACGGATACACCATGCCCAGGCTGTGGGTCGGGGCACTTGCCTCCGAGCCAGGAGTCCCTGGTCCCCCAAGAGACTCCCAGCACCTCCCTGGCCCCGTGGGGGGGTCCACCCAAAACCCACAGGTCCCGCCCCCTGGCCCCGCCCCAACCCACAGCCCTGCCCCCTGCCCTACCCTGTCCCCACCTCCCTGGCCCCGCCCCCTGCCCCACCCTGCACACACCTCCCAGGCCCTGCCCCCAGCCCCCTCCCTCCCGCACACAGCACTCCAGCCCCACACCAACCCGCAGAACCCAGCCCCAGCCCCGCCGCCGGCCCCGCCCCCCGCCCCCCCCACCCTCCCGGCACCGCCCGCTCACCGGCAGCCCGCAGGAAGGTGGGGTGCAGGTGGAAGGTGACCAGCGGCTCCTTGAGGCCCCTCAGGAAGTCCTTCAGCACCCCACACACCACGTGCACGTCGCCCACGTGGCTCAGCGTGGGCAGCGCCCCCTTGGCCCGCAGCAGCTTCTGCTTCCACTCCCGCACCAGCGGCTCCGCGCCGGGCACCCGGTACAGCCCTGTCTGGGGGGGGGGGGGGGGGGGGGGGGCCCCCCCCCCCCACCGGCGCCCCCCCCCCCCCCCCCGCCAGCCCCCCCCGAGCTCCCCTCCCTCCTACCTCCGTCAGGCCCCTGCGCTCCACCTCGCTCACGCAGTGCAGCACCAGGGCGGGCACCAGGGGGGCCGCGGGGGGCGCAAAGTCGGCCAGGACACCCTGCGGGAGGGGACAGGGTGAGGGAGAGGACGGGACAGGGACCCCCTGCCAGTCCCCCCCGTGCTCCCCCGGTACTCACCTCCCGGGGGCGGGGCCGGGGGCCCGGGGTGCACAGACTGGGGCAGCGCCCGCGGCACTCGGGGTGCAGCAGCAGGCGGCAGCGCCGGCACCGCAGCACCACCCGCCCGAACCGGGCACGGATGCCGCAGACGGAGCAGGACTCGGGGCGGATCACCTGCCGAGAGTGGGGGTCACGGTGCGCCCAGACCGGCCCCCCTCCCCCGGGGCCAGCTGCCCCTCTCCCGCCACCCACCCTGCCCCTCCTCTGCCTGCCCCAGGAACCGGCACCACCCTGGGATCCCCCCCCAGACCGGCTGTCCCCCTCCTGCCACCCCCCCCAACTCCAGAACCCCCCACCCCCCTCCCCCGAACCCACAGCCCCCCTCCTGCCACCCACCCTGCCCTGCCTGCCCCAGAGACCA